AAAAACACAGTAGACAAAATTAGCATCTGCCGGGCCAGGGGTTTAGCTCAGCGGTTTCACCGCCTGCTGCGCAAGCACAAGGACCTGAGTTAGATCCCCGGTACCAAAAAAAAGGAAAAAAAAAATTAGCATCTGCCTAATGTTTAAGAAAAAAATCTTATTTTTAGAATAAAAAGATGTCAGTTGCTGGAAAGGGATCAATGTATGACAAATGCAAAACATTATTATACTTTCATAAAGCCAAAAGCTTCTGGGGAAAAGGAAAAAATCCAGCATTTTTTCAAGTGTTTTTGTTGCCATCTGTTCTTTCCTCAGTGATGATGCAGTAATTCATTCCAAAACACCTGATATTTTGCTTTACTTAGCATTTGATGCAAAGGAATCTTAATGAAAGGAGAAATTAACAGAAAAGTCAAACTATGTACCTGGGGTGGAAAGAAATGAGATTTAACTCAGAAATGTAATTGGAAGAGTTTACAGGAACACATCCTCAAATAAAATTAAGGAGAAGTTTAAATAAGTCATTGGAAGTCATTTATGAAAGACAATCCTGTTTACTCAAGAAGCCCTATTGCAACTTAGGGTGGCAATTTCTCCAGTAGCCATGCGTATGACAATTCATTCCTCTGAAACTCTGGAGCACTATTACATAGTTTAACCACACTTTTGAGTAATCGGTAAATTTCACCATAAATTGATTTATCATCAGTTGTACTTTTTAATGTCTTATATAATTAGATATAACTGAATAATAAACCCTTTAAGGTTATAATATCTGTATTTCTAGAGGTATGGATGAGTTTCCAAATTATCTTGGATTTTATAACATGATTGTCCATTCACTTTCAATTAAATAGCCTTCTCCTTAAAGATATTCATAAGCTTTATCCAAAAAAAAGTAAGACTTGAGGCATGTTTAAAAATAACTAAAATTAAAAATTTGTGTTATTCTTAAAGATACGTTATTTAGATACAGTTATGTTGTTTCTCATCCATTTTTCAAATGCATTCTGGAAACTTATTCTAGTATTTTACCGTACTCCTCCTCTACCTCAGCAATATAATTATGAAGACAAGAAATACATGAAGATAAAAGTTTAAATAATATAAATGGATTTTGCAGTATTCCATATATATGGTAGGGACAAACATTTTAAGTAGTTTTAGTAGACTTTTAAAATCTTATCTTCTGCCTACTGTTTGAGTTCTCCAATAACTTTAAATAGAAAGAAATAACATTTTGTCCATAAACATATCTAGTACACCATTTAAATAACTTATATGAGCATGGCCTGAGCATTCAAATACAGAAGTTGTTAATCTAGGTAATTACAATTTACACTGGTATATGAAAGGGATAAAAAAAGAGAGGACAGATGGTTTTTATGCTTTACTGAGCCAAACAACTGATCTTCTTACTGTATCCCAAATGATATGGTCTCCTCAGCTACTGATTAATAAACACAGCTTGGAATGGATCATAAAGAATTAATGTATAAAAGTCATCAGAGAACTAAAATGGTAACTTCTCTCACTGATCTATTCAGTACATATTCTGAATATACAAAACTTACACATGCAATATATTATAAATGCTACTATTTTCATGAATCTCAGTGCAGATAGAAGAGCATAGCAGGAGAAATCAATGAAGCAAAACTCCCAACTTCCTTCTTTGCCATCCCCCTTTGCAGGGACATTTGTCTTCCAGGCATTTTGGAAAATTATCTTTTTTTTGTCTGGCTTTCTTTGTCCTCCTAGAAAGTGAGAGTAAAGTGAGAAAGATAATAATTTATCTGAACAAAACCTAGTTTGGGGAAACTGAGAAATAGAAATGACTATTATTTTTACATTTTCTGCCCAACATTAGAATTTAGGATACTTCTGTTTACATGAAATTAAGGTCCACAGAATTATAACTGGAAAATCAGCTAGTTTTCTAAATCCCTAAAACTATAAATTTACTAATATAATTTGAGCAGATGGATTTTAATTTAGGAAATCACTATTTGTAAAGGAAACTTCTACTGGGGAGAATACAATACTAAGACTTCTGTGTTTATTTTTTCCTGGCAACAGAGGTATGTGATGATGATGATAATGATAGTTTATTTATTCTCTTTTCTCATGAGGATGTAAGCTTCCTTAGGACGAAGGTATCATGTCCAAATATGAGTGAGATTATATGGTATCTTTCTTTCTGTATCTAGTTTATTACCCATAACAATGATTTCCAGTTCTGTCTATGCATTCTATCACCAGTGACAAGATTATATTCTTTTATATGGCTGAATAACAGGCCATTGTTTATACATCCCATATTTTTTTATCCATTCACCAGATGATGGACTTAAGGTTGTTTTCAACTCTTGACTATTGTGAATGGCAATGAAATGAACAAAGGAATTCAGATGTCTTATCAACATATGAGTTTCATTTCTTTTGGAAATATGTACCTAGTGGTGAGATGGCTAGATCATACGGATCATGTGTTCGTTACACTATTAATTTTTTGGTCTTTTCCATCATGGCTACACTTACTCACATTCCCACAAATGTATTGCTGAGACTCCTTTCTTGGAGCTGACTATGCATTCTGGACTAAATGTTCTCAAGCCCTACTACACACTTGTTATTGTGGGACAGGAGTTTGCTCCTTCCTTGACCCCATGTCTTCTTTTGTCTTGGTTTACTCACTTATTTTGCTGCAATATGTCCTCAAGTAACTTCTTAAGAAGGAGATCATTTTAGGTAAACTTGGAAAGTTTTCATGTCAGAAAATATCCTAATACTATCATTTTCTTTATAAACATAAAAGCAATGAGTACTGTCTTCTGGCATTGAGGATGGGTAACAATAACAATAACAATAACAGTGCAGGTGAAATCAGCTGCTCCTAAGACCCTTATCCCAACAACTTTTGTGCCTGTTTCTCAGAGTCTTTACTTCTCTTCTTCAAGGTAGAGCCTCTCCCTCCTCACCTATCCCCCCTCTTCATTGATACTGATGTAATTTATGTTATCCTACATCTTAATGATAATTGTCCATCATCTCTGCCCCCTAGAAATTTGTTAAAACTTCTCCCAAGGGCCGGGGATTTAGCTCAGTGGTTCCACCATCTGCCTCGCAAGCACAAGGTCTCGAGTTCAATCCCCGGTACCAAAACAAACAAACAAACAAACAAACAAAATTCTCCCAAAACAGCGGTTATACCATTCCGTTTGCTTTGTTTTCAGGTTTTTTCATATTTCATTCTTTTACTGTCACTTTAATGAGAAATGGAAAAGAAAGGAGGTAAAAATACATATTACTCCATCATTTTAAACCAGAATTACTTTCTTATGTTTAAGAAAAATATCACACATTTTGTTTTGCGGTGTTTTGGGAGAGGAGACAGACAATCCTGTATATTTATTTCAATCTACTTAACACTTGAATTTTTCATGCTCCTAGCAAATGTTTATTTAGAATGTTTACATAGGACATCATTAAACATTATATTACTTTCACTTATTATATATTCAGATCATATACTTATCTGTATCCATTTGGAGTACATTAATATTTTCTTGCTCAAATTGATACTTCAATCATACTTTTCATCTTTATAGCAAATTGAACTGATATATTTCAAATAGATTTAATGCAATGTCTTGCTATTCAAATGTGGAAAATAGCATCAAGTCTTCCACCTTGGTTTATCAGGTTTGAAGAAATTATCACGTAACTTGCTATATAATGATGACATCATATTTAGTTTCATTCACAAAAGAGAGTGAGTGTATTCAATTCAGGCTTCTTAAAATGCTAGATGACTTTGTAGTTATTGCTGAAAGAATAGTGGAAAATATATTATCATTCGTTATCTTCCTAACTGTGCAGCTCAGTATCGTGCCAATTGCAAATCGTTCTTATGTAGAACACATATAGAGAAAAATCAGCCACATAGGCTCCAACCTTGTTTATTCTTCTTTCACACAGAGAAGTCACAAACACATAGAAGCCATCAGAAATTAATTAGAAATTTATAAGTTTTAAGAATAAAGAGAGGATGATAGAAGAAACAGAACAAATAATAACCAAATGTTTTTAAGAATAAAAAGAGGAAAATGAACGGCAAAGAGTATTTCTTTTTTTGACCACAGGAAAACATTTTTAGGAAGTCAGATTACGTTTTACAATGTGTATAATAGATCACTTTTAAACTGCACTGTTAAGAAATATCACAAAAATGCTTGGGTTTCTGTTTGGTATGGGTTTTGGGAATTAAAAGGTCCAACCTATTCCTAAGATCTCATTTGCAGCTAAAATTATAAAACACATTTTTTTCAAGAAAGTCACCAATTTTTCACTATACATTGCTTTTCTATACATTTGACTGCACAAGACTTTTATGTCTAGGGGCTTCAGATTCCATATTTGTTGTTCCTTGCATATTCCTGGCTGCTCTATTGGACCCTCTTCCTACACATTTACCCCTCAGAACTCTACTTTTTTAGATAGACTATGACTTAATATTTTTGTTATATTCTATAAGGATATTTTTCACAAACATAAATTGACAATCAGCTTGTAGAGTTCCTCTGACTTGTATAATTTATACATGGTCACAAATTATTGGGAAGGGGAGCGAAATTGTTGCTAGTGATCAGGTACACAGGTCAATGAGAAATTGGTTTAATTTTTAAACTTCTTTTCTTAGAAAAAACAGCTATTAAATTGATATAATAATGATGAGTTTTCTCATTTATCTCTTTTCAGATTATAAAAATTATTTTCCACTTTAGATTTAGAACATTGAAGAAGCAACTACTCATGGTTCAAATTATTATTAAATGCACAGCATCTGATATGAATGATTATTCATTCGAAATATGTAATATTAACTCTATGAATTTTTTTTTCTGTTTTATGATCCCTTTCTCTGTTCTTGGTATGAGTATGTGTGTTGGACCCATAGGCTTTGTTCATTCAACATGTTTGTGTTTCTGTAATTTCAGCATGTGGCAAATTGATGAAAATCACAGGCCCCATTACAATCAAGACATCTGGAACTCGATTTGGTGCTTGGATGACAGATCCTTTAGCATCTGAAAAAAATAACAGAGTATGTTGCTTCCACAAATGCCTTCGCTTAAAATTGTGTTTTATTTACTCTTTTTATCTACTGGACAGATCTTTTTCTTCAGGGATATTAGTTTTAACTTAAATAGTGTTAACATTGTTTGCAAATCTTTTGTTTGATAATATTAACACATCTAAAGATATACAGCAAACTCATTTAGTAAAATGCACCATTGTATAATTCACCAGTACAGTAAGTCTAATTTCTGTTGATTTTATTCTTGTTTTATGCTTAGAAAGTGCTAATTATAAGCACACAACATTTCCTGTATCCTGTTTATAGAATATTCTGAGTGTAAAAAGAAAAATCACTAAATAAATAAAAACTCATGGCTGACTAATTCACTAAAGAAACTAATATATACCTGGACTCTAGGGATAACTTAAGAAGTAATGATACTAAAACTTGAGAGGGGGCATTTTCATAAGTTAGTGATGCCTGCATTGTGTAAATCAATAAATTGGAAACTTACCATACATACATTTATTTTCTTTTTTTAATTCATTGAATTTATTGGTACATTTTAGGTATAAAATATGATGACATTCAGCATTAGAAATGTGTACCTGTCCATGATAGATCTTGGTTCTTATTTTTTTTCCTATTCTGCTGTCCTCCCTTCAACCCCTCCACCCCTCCCCATACATAAGTTTATTTTCTATGACAGTACTCATTACATACTAAAATTATCAAGAGCTTCATCCAAATAAGATTTTTTATGAAATTAATAAGTTGGTTTCATTAAAAGGGAGTTTTACCTATAAGCTAATCAAATGAACAAATATTACTAGAAGATTCTGTGACTCTTCTGAAGTATAAGTTGAATACATTAAATTAGACCATACATTTTTTTCAAACCAAGGGATAGAATAAAAATAACGTGCTTATATTTTTGCCATTATGAACTGATTACATCAGTCCATCAGGTGATATGATTTGCATTTGGCATATGTTTGGTTCACACAGTGATATGCACTAAAGAGACAAAAGTAAAAATCAAAGAAATAAAAAGGCAAAAACAGATCAATGTCAAAGCAGTAAATTTAGTTATTTCTTTTCCACAGAAACCATACCAATATTTTTACAAAAGTCTACAATTTTACCACTTTGCAGCAGGTTAGCTGAACAATAATTTGGCTTTGAGAGCTGCAGAATTGTGATATTAGTATATATTGTCTTTCATTGTCTTTCTTTTGGAATTCTCAAAGAAGTTCAAAATTTATTTATTCCATTTATTTTTCCTTCTTCTCAGGTCTGGTATATGGACAGTTACACTAACAATAAAATTGTTCGTGAATACAAGTCAATTGCAGACTTTGTCAGCGGGGCTGAATCAAGGACATATAACCTCCCTTTCAAGTGGGCTGGAACTAACCATGTGGTCTACAATGGCTCACTGTATTTTAACAAATACCAGAGTAACATCATCATCAAATACAGCTTTGATATGGGGAGAGTGCTTGCCCAGCGAAGCCTGGAGTATGCTGGTTTTCACAATGTTTACCCATATACATGGGGAGGATTCTCTGACATCGACTTAATGGCTGATGAAATCGGACTGTGGGCTGTGTATGCAACTAACCAGAATGCAGGCAATATTGTCATCAGCCAGCTTAACCAAGATACCTTGGAAGTGATGAAGAGCTGGAGCACTGGCTACCCCAAGAGAAGTGCAGGGGAATCTTTCATGATCTGTGGGACACTGTATGTCACCAACTCCCACTTAACTGGAGCCAAGGTGTATTATTCCTATTCCACCAAAACCTCCACCTATGAGTACACAGATATTCCCTTCCATAACCAATACTTTCACATATCCATGCTTGACTACAATGCAAGAGATAGAGCTCTTTATGCCTGGAACAATGGCCACCAGGTCCTTTTCAATGTCACCCTTTTCCATATCATTAAGACTGAGGATGACACATAGGCAAAAGTGATTTGTTTTTATTTATTCAAACACTACCATTTGTGATAAAATCTATAGGACCCTTTTTTTCTGATTTTTTGTTATTATAATTGTTCATCATTCCTCCAAAGCAAAGCATTTTTTAATTGTAAATTCTGTGTTTTAAAAAAACAGCTGAGTCTAAATTAATGTGTTGGAAACACATCTTAACTCCTAAATTTACAAGAACCATCATGTCCTTGTCATGAAAAGCACTAAAAAGAGTTTAAGTGACTAAAGTCATAGTTTTGCAAAAGATTAATGATCTGCCTTATATTAGAGTCAGAGACTAATGGTGGCTTAAATGCATGAATGTCTTTTTTTATTTAACTCTGTCAATTTTTAATGTCTTTTGCTCCACATCAGGAAACATTTTGGTAGGAATTAGTTACAAACAAGAAGCACTTTCCCCACATTTATTTCTAAAAAATATTTAAGGATTTTATTTGTATCAAAAAATAATATTAATCATTTTGCTGTTAACACAGTTCTCTGATGCGGTGCTGTACAGTCATTTTTAAATCTTGCTAACATTTTCTTGGCAATATGTATTTCTACCATTGTAACCACCATTGTGCAATTGTATTTCTTCACTTTTGTGAAAGTAAGTAATATTTTTTATAAAATATACTGAAATTTAATCTCAGTAATGATTTGAGTCAATTTTCAAGTATGGTAAAGAAGGATCTTCTTGGCTTTGCCCTTTACAGGAGCATTGTAAACTAAAAGGAAAATCAAACTAGATACTTATATTGAGTATTTTCTCCCAAATTTATTTGAATACTGACATTGATTGGATGGAAACAATGACTCAGTGTAGCCAAGTTACTCTATTCATTGAAAGCAACCCATGTAGTTGCTTGAAAAATACATCTGAGTACAAAAATTTTATTTGAGTTGACTCCACTCACTTATTATACACAAAACACTCATTCATCATAATTAAATATATTAGTATCTTAACTCATATTTTACATGGAACTTGCAATAATATAATTCCTTATATTGTAACTCTAAAAAGTCCAAGAAGCACATGAAAACTCTTGAGAAACAAAACTTCTGTAATATCCTCTAGATATAGATCATCCACTCTGGAGAAACATTGGCAAGAATTGTAGAGAAAAAAAATATATGGCAAGACCTCAGAATTATCAGTTTGGTTTCAAATGTGTAAATAATTCGGAAATGACATAGGAAGGCAAGACCTTTTTACCCTGATTCACTATATGGCAGAAATAATAGAACCAAGAAAAGAAAGCTTTAATACTATGTTATGTTAACAACTCCACAATATATCAAACATGTTCTTGAGTTTGGATACACTTTCTATATACTTTTAAGATTTTTCCTAAGGCAGTTTTATGGAAACTAATATGAAATAATTTTAAATTTTAGAAGTATACTCTATAATAAGTAGTATATAACTTAAGTGGTAAATGTTTAGTTCCACATATATGAAATATCAAAATTTTCTTTGAAAACTAAGGTTATAATTCAGATAAAGCATTGTATGAAGAAATGCTAATATTTAGGGTAATTCATTCCAAATGTAGCAGATTAAACATCATTTTCAAGTATTTCACTGTCAAAATTGTAGGAGTACATACCCCAGTCTTGAAATTGTTCAAGTTTAATAAAGATTTCTTTTTTGCCTAAAAAAAATAAGGATGATTTGATGACCACTCTGAGTCCTTTTGCAATGTTGTCTTCTCTTTTAAAAAAATTTGCATAAGTTTCCCATTACTATAGAGAGTTGGAAAGTTTAGGACATTTATGTGTCATGGTACACACTCCACAAAAATAATCAGTCAATGATTTGTATGTAAGTTTGTATGAGAAAAAAAGGTAACATTAATTTCAGAAATAAATGGAATTTGTAAGTAGATGGCCTCTAATAAATAGCTTCTCCTTACTTGTTTTTTAAAAATAATGTTATACAGTATCACATACATTCAAAATATGGATGATTACAGTTTATTTGTGGGGTATGTAGTTTGTAACACACTTTGTGTTCTATGTAAGGTTATATCACCATATCCAATTTCCAATGTATGTGCCGCTAGAGCAAACACAGATTTTTATTGTCACTACAAGTGGGGACAACATCAGTTTAAAAAATGACTTGCATTAAATATATATAGTTTGAGTATTTTTCTTATTACATTATTATTAGTTCTGCGCCTGAAATAAATAAGAATTTACTTTAGTTGTCATTTTTTTAAATCTCCAACAAACAAATTTTATGAGAGAAATAATGAGCATTTTTAAATCATCTATATAATCCAGCTAGTAAAGAGATCCTACTCAGAAAGTCTTAATCTTAAGTGAACTGTGTAACTGGAATTTTCTGAATTAACTAAGTCATTAACAACTTCCAGGTCATCCAAATAGTACTATGTTTATGGACTGATTGTGTTCGTGTGTTATTTGTATTTGTAGCCCTTGAATCACAATGCTTATTACTTGTATTTAAGGTTATATCTATGGGTTCAGAAAAATGGTAGTATTTCAGTGCATTACAACTATGTAGAAATAAAAGAGAAAATAATAGCAGATGTATCATATATATAAAATCATGAGTGATTACTTATGATTCCTATCTCCATACTCAGTCATTCGCCCTCATAATCAGCAGTATTTTCTCTGACAAAATCATATATTTAGAAAATAATGTTCACTTTTGATTGACCCTTATTCCTCATAAGAAACAGTTCTTCACATTTGAAACCACTATAACCTTACAATTACAAATTTTTCAAATAGAAGAATTATTTTTCTATATAATCAGGTACAATTGTACATATATTCATTTCAAAAGAAGACCAGTTATTTCCCTTCTAAGGTAAGTTTTACACATAATAATTCTTAAACATCATTCTCTTCAAAGAATAGATTTTTTTTAAATGTCTGGTCTTTTTAACACCCATGATTGTCAATTGTTCCTGTAAATGTTAAATTTGAATGCAATTGACAGCAAAATTAAAAGTATCCCTTCAAGTTAAAGCAATTACAAAAAAATATAGCATTTCAGAGTTCTTAAAAGCCAAGCCTTTTAGAAATGGTACCTTTGAAAACAGAATAAAAAATATCATCTTGTTGACTTGGTGAGGTAAGTATGATTATACCTTTTATCACAGTTACAACTTGAGTTCCTGTAACATAGTCAGAAAACATTTAGAGATAGAAGATTCCTTACCTTCTTGACCATCATGTGAAAAGTGAACCACAAGGAGACCTCCTAGTGTTGTCTACCTAGTGTCAGAATCAGAGTGTATAAATTAAAATGTGGATGCTATAAAATAATATAAAGCTTAATCAACAACTGTTTCTTGCTAGAAAGAATTATTTCTAAAAGGACCCAGAGTCACTACCTATCCCTCAGTTCAGTAAACTAACCATACTGAAATCAAGATCATGAAATGGGTTTTGTTCCCCAAATTTAATCAAATTCAGTACAAAACTATATGCTAATACTTTATCATGATCATGGCTTCAGACCTGGGTCTTCAAATCTCTTCTTTTGAATTATTGAAACTGCTCAAAAATACAATTACAATATTAGCATACAGAAGAAAAACTGGTATCAAAGAAATTTTTATTTTTCTTAGAAACCATGAATTCAATTTATAAAAATCTTTTGAATAAAAAAATATAAAATTGTTTGCTCTATTGTTTATCTGACCAGAAAATCCTCCTCCAAAGTGAATTTAACAACCTGATTTATCTCACTCACATTGGAAATTATATTATGTCATTCATCCCTTTTAGTTTGTCTGTTTTATCAGGCTTAGAAAAATTGTAATGCTGTTTGGAGTCTGTCTTGTCTCCAAAACGTCAAGCTAGTTTAGTGTAAAACTTATCTTCCTTGGAAGCTCTGTTCATCAAGTGCCAAGTAAGTTTTGCAAATATAAATTGTTACTAAAAGGTGACTTGACATACTATAAAAAGAGCATAATGTATGTTCTTGTTGAGAATACACAACTTCCGTTAACTATAAACATCTTAAAACATTACTTCTAGGTAGAGATATGAAGCAATACAGTGAATATGGAAGAGTTCTCAGGAATACCTCAGTGCTGGAAGAGATTTGCTGGAAAACCACACACATATACGCTAAGTCGCATCCCTACCAAATCCACAGTATACTCAGAAGAGCTTGCATCTGTTTTTTGTGTTTTTTTTTTCTTTTTGGTACCAGGGAACAAACTCAGGACCTTGCGCAGGAGGTGGCACCACTAAGCTAAATCCCCAGCCCCCATCTGTTTTTTTTTAAGTGATTAAAATGTTGCCAGAACATATCATGCTCTACCTAAATTTGGAATTGCAAATATTGTATATCAGCAGACATTTGCAGAAAATATAGGATAAACAGCTGACAATAGAAATTAGTTGAATTAAATGTTAGTCATTTTAAATTTAGGAATATTATTTTTTCATACTGTAGTAATATATTTCTAGCTGTTTTGTCTGTATCTTTTTCATATGAATTCCTATACATTGCCAATAGATAATACATAGGCTTTAGAATTTATAACAGTTAAAAACTTTATAACAGTTATGCATTTTTAAAAAATAACTAGGCAAAACTATGTGCTATTAGATCCTCTACATGCTGTGCACACCTGTCAACAGGTAAAGTCTTCATGTGTTTATGCTCTGGTTGTAATAAAAAATTATGAAAAATAACTTTTGATTGGATTAACTATTATGAAGGAAATTTTTAAAATATATATGATATTGAGTGATTGGATGTTTTCCAGGGACAGGATGAGGTAGGAAATGATGTTTAGAGGGAATAGGTAAGTAAGATCTCCCTGAAATGCAGCCTACCATGCTAAATTCATTCAAATACTGGAATGTCAACATATCATCTATATAAAAAATTTGATGTCTTTCTCTTTGTTCCTAGAAATTCATCAATCAAATATTTCTAATACCTCTTCTTTATCATATAAATTTTGTGCTTTTCATATATTTAGTTCTTTGACATGAAGTTCAGGAAAGCTTTTCTGGGGATAATTGACACTCCTGATGACATATGCCAAATTTGATGTGTACCAGTGGTTGTACATTTTTTCTAGTAGAGAATTCACAAATCTTATCAGATTTTCAAGGAATCCCATGATCCAAAGGACCATCACTCTATAAATTCAATCATAATTTAATTGAATCACAAATGAATTAAATACTGGTATTTTTATAACAAGCACTGAATGTCTGTGATCATTCTTGAAGTTCTCATGAATTTCAATTTGCTTGTTTGTTAAAAGAAGTTAACATTATAGAGTTATTTTTAAGTTTTTTGTTTTTGTGTTTGTTTTTGTTTGTTTGTTTTAGAATTTAAGATTAAGTTGTCTCTAATGAAAAGCTCTGAAGAGATTTTTGTTTTATTTGGACAGGATCCAGATTAGATCTGTCATCCAGTTTTTCAAGAACATTTTTTTTTGCCAGATTTAGTGACCAGAAAATTTCTTTTATAAGGCCTGTCTTACATTTATTTGAGTCTGGAGAATATTCTCTTCTAATTCCAATGCAGCCATTTGTCAGAGCCTTAGACTCTGATTGGAATAGAGCAGATGCAGTGTGCTTCAGCAAACTCAAATGCAAACTCCTTTTCTGGAATTAACTACTGAAGTAACAATTAAACAGAAAAGAAAGGCACTAACAGTTGCCTTGGATTAGAAACTACTTAACTGACACACATATCATCTAGAGTACAGATTCAGAATTTTTAGAAAAGATTTTTCATTAAAAAATACGACAAGCAGAACTCCAGCCATGCTTGAAAAGTGGTGCTGAGTGAGGAAATAAAGCTGTTTCTGCCAGTAATGTTTATTTTTACTTTTTCCCTCACAAAGGACTTGTGAAAACTCATGCATTATGTTCCATTCCAATATTAACAAAAAATAGCCAAAATAAATATTTTCATTCTCTCTCTAATGACTTTATTAAACTCCTTTGAAAGCTACTCTTGGAATATGAACTATGCATTAAAAATAGTTAAATCAATTTTTACATTATCAGATTTTTATGAAAAGATAAAATCTGATAATGTAAGTCAATGCCTAATCCAGATATTTGTTCTCAACAATTATCTTCCAATTTGCTTGGCTACCCACTGTCTTCAATGCTAATTCAATCAATCCTCTGAGCTCCATCACTATGTCCAGAATCTAATACCCTGCTTGGAAAGGCATCTTTTATTTACTGACCTCTGATTCCTCTCCTGTATGATGGATTTTATGTTTTCCTTTAGCCAAGAACCACTTCCATGAATAAGGGCTTCATGGAATGTTCCTTGGCCAAGAAAGACCTTATTTTCAAAGACACAAGAAATAGTAGGGAACATCTTGTCTCTCATAATTTATGTTGGAAATCGACATTTCACCCTTTGATCAAACTTCTTTTCATCTTTCACAATCCACTTAAATATCATCTTATTTCTGGGGGCTATACAAAGGTCACCCTTTTGTATCCCCACAGTATTGATTTTACATTATCAAAATGATCACATCATATTGTAGTGAATTGTTTCCTTCAAGTTAGTGTGGAATCTAAAGTGAGGTCAACAAGTTATTTTCCTTAATCACAAGTCCCAAGCATAGTGACCAACACAGAATAATATCATAGCAAATAACCAAAGAGGTGTAAGACTAACTGGTCACATCATAAACACTGACATCTCTGTTTCTTTCTGGAAACATTGTGAGAAATTAACATTTGTTAATTTATTTGATAGGAAATAAATTTCTATTTCTTATTAGAGTAAGATTTTATTTCTGATTAAAATATATAAGAAAATGTCAAAAAAGTTAAATATACTTAATTTTTTCTCTGATACAGTGAATTTTATTCCAGGACAAAGTGGCTTAAAAGGGCTCCCATACTTATTTCCCTCTTTAACATCCATTTTTAGAAACAAAAAAATCATTTTAATTTTTCAACATTCAACTTTTGGTTCCCTACTTTGCATTTTTTTTTACTATAAATACTTTTTTTGAAAAGATATTTTGCTTTTTGGTAGAACAGATGAGTTTTTATCAAAGCAGCATTTGCTACCAGGCCAGGAAAAGGGGAAAGAACCATGCCTTCCTCTCACACTTTACTTCCAGCCTCCTTAGCCTGTGTTTGCTAAGAGTGCGTCAACCAGAAACTTGATGTTCAGTGAATAATCAGTCAATCATGCTACATATGTGCATCTAGTAATACACTTTAAGTAACATCATTGAAGCATACTTCTTCATATAGTATAAGCAACTCTTCCGGAAGACAGAATATTTATTCTCAAATTAGATCTACTGATAGATCTACTGGTAGACCTAATTTGAGTAAATTTCCTGTGTTCTGTAAATAAAAGAACTGGTTGCTACCAGTAGTCTTCAAAAGCTGCCCTGCACAGCTTGAGTTTCTACAGGGATCCCTCAGAGTCTACCATGAATAGATAGCCAAACCTAATTTGGGTGACATAATAAATCACAAAATTTCACACTACTTCCAGTAAAGCCAATTTTATTTTTATCTACTTTTATAATGCTTCTATGTTAAGCTTTTATCATCACAACACATTTTTGTTATTTAAAAGCAATCTATAAAAATCACTTAACTCAATAATCCCCAAGAATTCTTTCAGCTCTAATCTTCTGCTGATCTGTGATTGTAAACGATCAATAAAGTCTATGTATGACCTGGAATTTAGATGCTAGCATAGCACAAAATGAAAGGGAAAATACAAGAAGAAAAAGAGAAGTGAAAGTGAAAATTTACTTAGTTTCCAGAAGTTTTCAAGTAGTTTCTACAGAGTTATCCATATTATGTTAAAACTA